TGTCATAAAAGTGCACTTTGTCTTAACTACAGAATTAACCTCAATGAATGAGACCCCAGAGACGACTGTACGGAATTGTTTAGTATTTTCTAAAAAACATTAATTTTTAATTTGTTAATTGCAGTTGCGTATACTCTGCGTACATACTAAAACCATGATTCTCTCTGGGCGGAATTTATAAACAAGAATAGATGCATCAGTGTTTGTTTAGTATCCGAGGAGGATAAAAGCATTAAATTTTGATAATTTTGATAATTTTGATAATTCACATAATAGTTTCCTATGACCAGAATATTTCATTGATTTTTTATGAGAAAGATGGATCCCATGTCAGGCTTCGACATCCGTCTTGTGTTTACATTACCGCCCAGAGACAGTACACTGCAGTACAAAAGATGCGCACACCTTTCCTTGCATTATAACCTTGGTTTTACTTAATATTAAACATGTTCTGGAAACAAAAATGAAGTATCGCAAGAAATTTATAGATTAACACTGTTTGAAAATGAAGCTTTGCAATATGTTCTCATCGAGAAAATTATTATGAAAAATAAACCAAATGCGAGATTTGCTTATTTTTAGAAAAGTTGCGCTGACTAGACGGAGAAAGGTTTACATGATGACCTAGTAAGCTAGAAAGATTTGCTTATTTAAGAAAAGTTGCGCTGGCTAGACGGGAAAAGGTTGACATGACCTAGTAAGCTTATAGTAAGATTTGCTTATTTTTAGAAAAGTTGCGCTGACTAGACGGGAAAAGGTTGACATGACCTAGTAAGCTTAAAGTAAGATTTGCTTATTTTAAAAAAGTTGCGCTGACTAAACGGGAAAAGTTGACATGACCTAGTAAGCTAGTAAGATTTAGTTTGTTGCCTACAGCACACTTCTGACCTAAGTAGGAGTCATATTTCAATTATTTAACTCAATACTTAGAAACTTACTTAATAGGGGAGAGTTAGAAGGGGGCAGGGTACTTGTTGGAAGGGGGTAGGATATTGGAAGGGGGTTGGGTGTTGGGAGAAGGTAGAGGGTTAAAAGAAGGTAAGTTACGTGTTGGAAGGGGGTATGGTGTTGAAAGGTGGTAGTGTGTTGGAAGGGGGTAGGGTGTTGTAAGGGGTTAGAGAGTTGGAAGGGGATAGAGTGTTGGAAGGGGGTAGGGTGTTGTAAGGGGTTAGAGAGTTGGGAGGGGATAGGGTGTTGGAAGGGCGTAGGGTGTTGGAAGGGGATAGAGTGTTGGAAGGGGGTAGGGTGTTGTAAGGGGTTAGAGAGTTGGAAGGGGATAGGGTGTTGGAAGGGCGTAGAGTGGTGGAAGGGGGTAGAGTGTTGGAAAGGGGTAGGGTGTTGTAAGCATATAAGGTGTTAGAAGGGGGTTGAGTCTTGGAAGGGTTAGGGTGTAAAAAGGGGTTAAAGTATTATAAGAGGATATAGTGTTAGAGGGGGTAGGGTGTTGGAAGGATAGATAGATAGATTATAGATAGCTAGATAGCTAGAGATGTATAGATATATAGATATATGTATAGGTAGATAGATTGATAGATAGATAGATAGATAGATAGAAAGATAGATAGATAGATAGATAGATAGATAGATAGATAGATAGATAGATAGATAGATAGATAGATAGATAGATAGATAGATAGATAGATAGATAGATAGATAGATAGATAGATAGATAGATAGATAGATAGATAGATAGATAGATAGATAGATAGATAGATAGATAGATAGATAGATAGATAGATAGATAGATAGATAGATAGATAGATAGATAGATAGACAGATAGATAGATAGATAGATAGATAGATAGATAGATAGATAGATAGATAGATAGATAGACAGATAGATAGATAGACAGATAGACAGCTATGTAACTGTATACGTTTAGATAACTCATTCTGTGAACGCGTAACAGGTGAATGTATACAAATATGTTTATTTATAAACATGCCAGACATAATACTATACCTTGTCTATTAATAGACATAACACTACCTTGTCTATTAATAGACATAACACTACATTGTTTATTAATAGACATAACACTACATTGTCTATTAATAGACATAACACTACATTGTCTATTAATACTATTTAAAACTGTCATTGTATCTTTCAAGATGATGTTTTCCGTGATTATTTTGCTCAACATTTTTTTGACATATTTTTTAAAAGTTAATTGTTGTTATTTAGAGTATTCCTTAATTAAGGAGGATATTGCTAAAAACAACTCATACCGAAGAACGTAGCGTCTATAAAAATGCAGAAAGTTGCAACATTCAACTTGGATCATAAAAATCGTAAAAAAATCAATGTAATTCCAAACAAATCATTCAGATATTTATACATTTTCGACGCATTCGTATATAGTTGATATTTCATAATATTTTTGATTTCGTTTTTTTAAACATTTCGCTGGCGCTGGATTTTCGAACATTCCTGGAAAATATAGAAAATTAAATCTATTATTCTCAAAGAACTAGAAATAAAATATTGAAAAGTTCTGCTGTCAGAAACTCGCGAAACTTTAATATTGCTTTAGAGTTTCCTATCCAATAAGATTCTAATTTTTTAAACTTTTGTCATTTCGCTTCAAGTTAATAAACTGGTTTAAGACAAATGTTTTTATTTGTAAGAAGAACCAGTTATTTAAATAAGACTTTGATCAACGGATTATCTAGGGGAAAAAACATGTTTGAAGTTATCACCATAATTCTGCAGATATATCTACAAAAACTTTAGAAAGTTAACAATAATTACTGGTGACCCCGAATTCACGGTGCATTCCAAATTTACTATAGTTACCCTTCACAGCTTCATTTGGAGCAAAATTATGTGTTCAAATTTGGCAATTTTCTTCCTTTTTTTACGTATCATAAATCCACAAGACTTTTTCATAAAAAGTTGAAAAGTTGAACATTTTCTGATAACAAACTTACAGTTTTATGATTTTTGGCTCAAACAAAGGTTTAAAGGGTACCGTCGCCAATCGGATATGCAACTCTATCAATATATTTTGAAGGTCACTATGCAATTACGTGTACAGTCCGATTAATATCTAGAATTTTGTATCCACTTGTATTATTCATACCTGTATCTAAATTCTTTTTAGCCAATTGGATTTCTAACACTTAACTTAAAATGTTAAACTCTGTATCGCTTTGATATCAATTATTCGACTATTTAATGAAATCATCTGTAATACTATGTAGGGTCCGTCCTAGAGAACGATTTTTGGACCCCCCACCCCGCCCCCCCCCCTCCTATTAATTTTGTACATGACCACTTTAGTATTTATTTAGGGTTAGGTTAGGTTAAGACACTTTCTGGGCCGAGTGCTGCGGCCACGGGTTAGGTTAAGTTAAGACACTTTCACACTTTCTGTAAGATCCATGTACAAAATTGATAGGAGGGGGGGGAGGGGGGGTCCAAAAATCGTTCTCTAGGAAATTACCTACTATGTATAAATTTGATACTCCATCATTTTAAACGTAATCTATTAAAAATCTAAAATTCGATTTTTTATCAACTTTATAACTCAATTTAAATTCTTTGTATTTTTAATATCTGGAATTCACTTTTATACCTTTATAATTTCTCTTTTAAACTTTCTAAAAATTGAATATCTAAAAATCTACATTAATTCAACTTTTAAAACTCTGCAACTGAAAATATCTTAATCTTTGATTTGTTTCAGTTTCTTTTATCATTTGTCAATGATATCTGTAAGACATTAAGACATTTAAACTCTATTTTTAACTCATCTTTTATATTTTGTATCTATCAAATATACAAAACTCTATCACTTTTAACTAAAGTAACTTGCACGTTTATATAAGATTGAAACCTAATCTGTTTTCAATCAACTCTTGTTTTAAAGAGAAGAAAAAAACTTTTTAAATTGCCTCTATGTGATCAACGCGGTACTTTTCATTTCTCTCACTTGTACCAAAAATCAAGAAAGTAGAGGAGCTATGAGGCCACAATTCGTGGCAGTCCTTCTTTCTTGCATTCAGTACTATGCATTTTAATTTTTAAAGTTAAATTTTAATACAAACAATTTCAAGCAGTTTTACACTAATAACGCAACTTTTTAAAACTATAAAATCTTAAAATGAATTGATAAAGTTTCAATGTTAGAATAATTAAATCTTGTCTATCTGTTGCGTCTATAAGGAGAAAATTGTTAAAAACGATTCATGCTGAAGAACGTAGCGTCCATACAAATTTAAAAAGTTGCAACATTCAACTCGGATGGTAAAATAATCAATTTAATTCCAAACAAATCGTTTAGATATTACAAACAATAGTCATCGATTATTTATCGATGCAATCGTATCTTGTTAGTATTTCATAATATTTTTTATTTTGTTTTAAAATATAATATTTCACTAGCGCTGGATTTTCGATCATTCCTGGAAAATATGAAAATGTCGTCCTCGTTTTCAAAAATCCTCGAAACAGGAATAAATGTTTTTGAAAGTAACTATCAGATAATAAAAAATATTATGAAATATCAACTTTATGCAGATGCGTCGAAAAATTATCGATGATTATTGGTTGTAATATCTGAATGAATTGTTTGGAACTAAATTGATCATTTTCTGATCCGAGTTGAATGTTGCAACTTTCTGAATTTGACTAAATGGACTCTACGTTCTTCAGCATGAGTCGTTTTTTAACAAAGGAATTGAGTCTTTGTCACAAACTCTGATTTTTTGATCCCAATATATTTGCAACCCAATGTCGTAGACCCTTGATATTTCAAACTGTGAATCATGTTAGACCAAATGATCTAAGTTTGAAATATCAAAGGTGTACACCATTAGGTTTTAAAGATATAGAGATTAGAAAATTTGAGCTTGTGGCAAAAGTCAATTCCTTACTTTCAGAAGCAACAGATAGATTTGTAGGGATCAAAAGCGCAAATTTTTCGTCGTAAGCCTATACCCCCTTTCATTTTTCACGTAGACTCACCTTAAAAACTTTTTTAAAATATTTTTTTTTACATTTTTATTTATTTTTTACATCTTTGATTATTGCAACATTTATTGACTTCCTACAATGCATACATTTGTTTAAAAAATAAAATACTGAATACACTTCAAATTATACATGAGAGGGGTTAAATTAAGCTAGAGTGGATGGGGAGGGGGTATATAGGCCAGTTGCTTGCCAGGGGGGCACAGGGTTAAACTAGGCTGAAAGTATAAAAGGGTTAAATTTATTATGTTTTCCAATCTCCAGCTTATTTTGACCCCATTAATACATATGATAACATCATGTTCATTAAAAATATTAATACGGATTGAAATCTATGTACAAGAAATGCAATTGAATAAAATGTAAAAACATTTTCTTTGGTTTGTATAATAATGCTAGTTACGAAATAATACTTATGTATGTAATTAGATCAGAAAAAACGTGAGAATTACATTTCTTACTTTCTATAACAAAAGAGAAAAGAAAGCCCAGAATGAAAACACCGAGTTAGGTTTATATAAAGACAAAATTCACCAAATTGATACTTTTTTGTAAACGATAAAATATCAATAAAAAAATATTAATGAAAAATCCATCAATTGAAATATTAAATTAATTCATTGATTGATTAATTGACCGGGGTTCTGTGCCGGTTAACTTGCTCCTTGATGGACCCCAACTCCGTCCTGAGCTGAACTAACTCCATCTTCAACTGTAGGTTCTCCTGCTCTAAGAACTGAGCGCGCATTGCGATCTCATTCTCTTTTTGCCGTCGCGCATCTCTGGAGCGCTTCGCGGCCTCATTATTTTTCCTCCTGCGCTCCCAGTAGGCGTCGTCCTTCTCGCCACGCCCTTGTTCTGAGGTAGGTGTGGAGGTGAGGGACGGAGAGGGAGAGAGCGAAAGATCGTTTCTGGATTTAGGTTTCGCGGATTCTATATTTCTGAGCATACCTTCGCGGAAATCCGCGTATTTCTGGCTGGAGTTTACAGCGATTTTGGCGAGCTCAGACATGGATTCTTGATGAGGGAGGGAGGGGTGGTAGAGGGGAAGGGGGGATGAGGTAGAGAGAGGGGGAGGGTAGGAAGCATGTTTGGATGGCATATACGGAAGAGAGAGAGGGATGGTCCCTGGGCTGCTAGGGTGTAAATGTGGGAGCTGGGTAGCAATACCGGCAAGTTTGAGTAGTCCTGTCATATCTTGGTTTGAATGCATGTTTGGTAGGGGGCGGAGAATAGGGGTGGGGAGGATACCCTCCTTGCTGTCGATAGGAGATGCGGGCGGAGAGATAGAGAGGCGGGGGAGAGTGGGAGGTGGAGAGTGAGACGGCTGATTATCTCTGGGCGAATCAATATCATTGGATCGTGGCGAATGTGTAAGTGAGAGATCAGAATGCCCGTCGGAGGCGGAGTGTCCGTCCGAGCCTAAACTGTCGTGTTTATCCCACTCCGTCTTCATCTTCTTACTGGCGGAGTAATCTAACGGCTGGTCGTAGTGGGGGCGGAAGTGTGGCGGAGAGGGGGGTGTGATGTAGGGCGGAGAGTGTGTACGGATTTCTTGAATTTGGCGCATTTTCTCAACAAGGTAGAGAAGCTTCTCCCGCTGCTGCTGATCACAGTCCATCATATTCATGTTCAGGTTCATGATCGATTGATCGATGATCGTTCAAGCGTTCTGAAAAAAAAACATATTTTAGAGCATTAAAGTATATTATAGTTATCACACAATACAATAATAATCACTGGGCTACAGTAAATAATTAATCTGACCAGGGTTGGATAATTATTGATAATTAATAATTAATAATTTAGTAGAGAATGTTCAGGACACGGTGGTAGAAGAAAAGAGGGGGTGAGAGAGAATCACCCCCCCCCCTCTAATCTTTAAACTTATACGTATATAGTATACACAAGAAAGTTAAACAATAAATAATATAGAAAAGTAATTTTCAATAATTTAAAAAAAATTAAAAGTGCATTGTTAAATATTGTTAAATGCTTTTTAATCGAGAGAAAAAAATCAAGTTTAATGTATGCAGAAACATTTATAATAGAAAAATAAGACAAGCCAAGAAGGTCTATTTTAGTAAATTAATAGGTTGCCAAAAACGAAATCTTAAGAAGATGTGGGAAACATTAAAAAACATTACAGGGATGGGAAACAAGCCTTATCAGAGTTTAATGAAAATTGATTCCATTAAGAAGAAAACTTAATTATCTCAGATCAGGTTTTAATTGCTAATGAGTTCAATAGCAATTAAAAAAGGAAATTTATTTTTTATATTTTTCAGAATTTTCAATTCAGAAAAATTTCAGATGCGATAAAAAAATCTTGAAATTTGAATAAACGGAACTCCCCCCCCCCAGATATTCATAACTTCGGAACCATCCATCACCCCTAAAAACAAATTTTTTTTTTTGATAAATATAATTCCTAGAAATGCTGCTCGAATACTGATTTCGTCTTCTTTAGCCCGTCTCGCATCCCGAGACCGTTTAGCGGCCAAATTATTCTTTCTTCGTCGTTCTTGGTATGCCTTCTCCTTAACCTCAGCATGCAGCATGCTTCCACTGCTGTTTCCACTGGTACTCAGCATGCTTTCATCCCTGGACAGCATGCTGATGTCATTCTCTGACGAATCCCTTGAGTCTGAATTCTCTGAGAGTAATGAGCTGGACCTGGAGAAGGTTGAACCCGACCTGCTCAGTGTTGAGTTCAACCTGGAGAAGGTTGAAGGTTTAGAATTTGTCTCTGCAAGTTGTTTTAACATTTCCTCTCTAACATTTAGAGCAAATATTTCTATCTTTCAAGATTTTAAGAATAGTTGAATATTTTTGTAAAAATCTTTGATATTTAATTTTAAATGCTCTAATTGCCTGAAAGTAGCATAACTGCCTAAGTTAAAGTTGGGTTGAGGTTGAGAAATAGGCTCAGTGTTAGAAATCTTTATACCAGGATCTTCAGGGGGCTTTTGGTTTCGAGATACTGGAGTTATACTGAAATGGAGAAATTGTTACAAACAAGTTTAACCGGGGTTTGCAAAGATATAGGAATTAGAAAATCAAAATTTGTGACAAAGACTCAACTCCTTTAAGTTTTTGGCAAAACCTCATTTCCAATATTTTTAAAAGTTTAAAGATTTTGTTGATGAATACCTCGTTGCTGACGGAATATTGAGAACTGACAATAAGTTAGCAGAGGGGGAGTGAGATGGACTTGAGGTGGGAATGGAGATGGGAGTAGATTGAAAAGGGGGATTAGATTGGGAATGAAAGGATTGGTTTAGAGGAGAATGAATTGCAGCTTGAGATTGGTTCAGAATGGTGTGGAGAAGGGCGGGCAGTTGAAGGGCGGGGAACTGAAGAAAAGGGTTAAATACAGGAAAGCCCATGTTCCCCCCGGTAGGGTTAATAAAATGAAAAGGAAACCCTGGAGGGAGCACCCCAGGAGGAAACCCTGCAGGATAAGGAGTAAGAGGACTTGAACTTCGTCTTTTCTGAGAAAAATCTGGATTAACAAATTATTCAGTGAAAAACTGGAATTTAATCAAGCCTCTAATTTGATAAATATTGAGAAGTAGTTAAACCACGTAGACTAAGTTAACCCACTTCTCTTGAACATGAACCGACCACTTTATAAAATTGGGATAAGTTAAGGAGTTCAACTCGATAATTATCAAATTTGGCCCCAAACAAATTTTAAATAGTGAATAAATGTGTTCCTAAAGGAATTTCAATATCTTCATCCATCTTCTCTAACTTGTCTTTTTCTTCAATTTCCATTTCTAATTCAAGTTTTAGGATTTTTGAGGATTCATAGAAATTTCATTTTCACTCAAATGGAGAAGGATGAAATATCCAGGGTTAACTGGAGAAGGATGAAGTATCCAGGGTTAACTGGAGAAGGATGAAGTATCCAGGGTTAACTGGACACACATTCTCCGTGTAATGGCCTTTCTAACTACTTCTGTCATATTTTTGTAATCATCTTTAAATTCGGTTTCTTACAGGGCAACAGAGGAAACTTTAAAAAGATTTAGGAAGATGCTAATTCAGTGTTTTCAAAGAAAATAATTTCCTCCGTCGCCTCTAATATAGCGGGGAGCTAAGCAAATTGTGCGTATCGGAGAATCATTTGGTCAAAAACCATGTGTTTTGGTTGCTTCAGGCACTAAGCACTAATATTACATTCTCCGTCAAACTTCCAACCAATCAGAGACGAGCAAGATATCTAGCTGACCAATCAGAAGCCTGGATTCTCTGGAGCGCGTAGAGGGAAGAATTTGAACCGAGGAATGCGGGTTAAACGTCGGTTCAAGGAATCTCCCCCTGGGCTTCAAGCTTCCGTAATGTAGGATTATTCTAGATGTTAAACAATTCCGTGGTTACAGGCAATTTTGAAATATGATACGGAAGGTTAGAAGGAAAGGATTAGACGGAGAATATGTGGAGTTGAAGGACAAAATTCCATTAGACCGTATTATTTTAAATAATGCAATTTCTAACTATTGCAAGAAGGTTTATTTTCAGAGGGGAACCTCCCCCCCTCTTTCGCTTGTGTAGGTCATGAATCCTATTCTAATTTTGCCCCCCCCCCTCCCCACCTTCCAATCTTGTCCCCCCTTTTTCTTGACCGTAATTGCAACATAATGATGGACAATAATAATAAGTCATCATTCCCCCCACCCCTCCCCTCCTCCCAATAAACCAACCAGCTTTCTACAAATTCAGTCATGCATGCACTAAAACCATCAAATGCAAGAAATCTTTTTATGTTGATAAACATAAAAGATTAAGAAAATAGATTTTATAATAATCTTTTGTTTTTCCTATTTTATCATTTTTTGTGGGGAGAGTTTTTTAACGTTGATTTAACGTTAGTTGAGAACTTTTTAATAATATTATAATAACTTAAACCTTGATGCATAATTATACATTCTTCCAAGATTAGAAACTGTTTTTACACAAAAACAAAGATTTCATTGTTAAATTAATAATTAGTTTGAGTTTAAAAATTGTAATTATGAGTTTAGAGTTGAAAACTTTAGAACGGTGGATATCGAGATTAATGCTTGATCCTCTCTTTTTCTTAGTATAGAGACTAATCTGATCTTGTACTTTTATCCTAAAAGGTGTATAAAATTCAACCAATCAGAGTCGCGTATACGAAGCCGATAAATTTGAAATTTAGCGCGCCATTTAAGATTATATACAGAAATGGGAGGAACTCCCTAATTAAAAAACGGTTTTTGATTTTTCTCTACTATATCCAAGAAAGAACGGTTTAAGAAGAAAATCAAAAGTGTGTCCATTGGATACTCAGATTAAGTAATCGGGATTAAGGATATTTCATTCTAAAGTTTTCAGTTCAGACAGTATATAGTACACAGTAAAATCCGACCGAAGGTTGTGTATTTGCAACCTGGATCCTATATATGCATAAATAATAAAGCTGTGACACGACCAACGAATAATATACCATAACCACAATTCAGGGATAAACCTTTATACCCAACACAAATTATTTTTAATAAAATGTCACCGCTACCAGATTCAAATCTAATTTTTTAACAAAAAAACATTTAATTTTTTTTTGTGATAAGTGTTAATTTATGCAATGTATTGCTTGTTTTGACGGGATTAAAATATATCAGTGTGTGCACGCTATGTTTGTAGGTCTATGCATGCAATATATATGAAATAATATTGAATAATGCAATATAAATGAAATAATATTGAATAACCAAAATAAATCATTTTTTTAACCAGACATTGTACTTGTATGAACTATATATATATGTAAAATGGGGGAATTGACGGACGAATTGACGAATTGGTAAATTTACGAATTGATTAATTGACGAAATGGTGAATTGACGATTTGACGAATTTATTTATTGACGAATTAACGAATTGGTGAATTGACGAAATGGTGCATTGTCGAATTGAAGAAGTGACGAATTGACGAATTGACGAATTGGCGAATTGACGAAAAGATGAACGGAGAAACACACCCGGTGATGAAATAATTTACATCAAACCAGCTGGGTTTCCCTGGTCATCAGCTCATTCTTCTTGTTCTCCTCGTTCTTCTTGTTCTTCTTGTTCATCTTGTTCTTCTTGTTCTTCTTGTACTTCTTGTTCTTCTTGTCCTTCTTGTTCTTCTTGTTCTTCATGTTCTTCTTGTTCTTCTTGTTCTTCTTGTTATTCTTGTTATTCTTGTTCTTCTTGTTCTTCTTGTTCTTTTTCTTCTTCTTGTTCTTCTTGTTCTTCTGCATTCATAAAGTATTTCTTGTTTTTCAATTTTCGTTTTTTTACGTCTCTGGTTTGCTTATAAGATTTGAATTCTGATATCAAAGTGTGGGAAACTAAATCTGATAAATACCAAACAATCTATTTATGCAAAGGAGGGGGATAAAACTGATATTTCGCCTCAAACTCTAATTTAATAATCCTTGTATCTTTTCAAGTTTTTACCTATATATAAATATTCGAATATTACAGTTTGAGGCAAGTAACCAGTCCTATTTTTTAAGTCTATCTGTAATGCATAGTGGACTTAACTAAAACCGGATATTAGGAACATTGATATGCGTCAAAAACCGGAAACTGGTAAAATAGAACGGAAATAGATGGACAAAAGAAGGACAGGATCCAAGCTAATATAATAGTTCTCATTTTTAGAAAAATTTCTTTTGGGTATTATTAAAAATTTATATCCTAAACCCTATATAAAGCATATTTTAAGACAAAGCAAAACGATGTCAATGAAAGGAAAATATAATTTAGAAAGCAAGCTACTAATAATAATAACTAATATTGAGTAGTAGTTTGATAAGAGGGAAGAAACGAAGAAATAGACTTATTAAAAATTAACGATAATCGTTGAAAATTACACCTATTATGGTCAATACTTCTCCTACATACACACTTGGATAGTAAACAAATATAATACAATTAATATCATATCCAATACAATACAATACTTCTCCTACATATACACTTGGATAGTAAACAAATATAATACAATTAATATCATATATACAATACAATAATTCTCCTACATATACACTTGGATAGTAAACAAATATAATACAATTAATATCATATCCAATACAATACAATACTTCTCCTACATATACACTTGGATAGTAAACAAATATAATACAATTAATATCATATATACAATACAATAATTCTCCTACATATACACTTGGATTGTAAACAAATATAATACAATTAATATCATATTCAATACAATACAATACTTCTCCTACATACACACTTGGATAGTAAACAAATATAATACAATTAATATCATATATACAATGCAATACTTCTCTTACATATACACTTGGATAGTAAACAAATATAATACAATTAATATCATATANGTCTAGTGTAACAAGGGAATACAGTAGTAAAGAGAGGGTCTAGTGTAACAAGGGAATACAGTAGTAAAGAGAGGGTCTAGTGTAACAAGGGAATACAGTAGTAAAGAGAGGGTCTAGTGTAACAAGGGAATACAGTAGTAAAGAGAGGGTCTAGTGTAACAAGGGAATACAGTAGTAAAGAGAGGGTCTAGTGTAACAAGGGAATACAGTAGTAAAGAGAGGGTCTAGTGTAACAAGGGAATACAGTAGTAAAGAGAGGGTCTAGTGTAACAAGGGAATACAGTAGTAAAGAGAGGGTCTAGTGTAACAAGGGAATACAGTAGTAAAGAGAGGGTCTAGTGTAACAAGGGAATACAGTAGTAAAGAGAGGGTCTAGTGTAACAAGGGAATACAGTAGTAAAGAGAGGGTCTAGTGTAACAAGGGAATACAGTAGTAAAGAGAGGGTCTAGTGTAACAAGGGAATACAGTAGTAAAGAGAGGGTCTAGTGTAACAAGGGAATACAGTAGTAAAGAGAGGGTCTAGTGTAACAAGGGAATACAGTAGTAAAGAGAGGGTCTAGTGTAACAAGGGAATACAGTAGTAAAGAGAGGGTCTAGTGTAACAAGGGAATACAGTAGTAAAGAGAGGGTCTAGTGTAACAAGGGAATACAGTAGTAAAGAGAGGGTCTAGTGTAACAAGGGAATACAGTAGTAAAGAGAGGGTCTAGTGTAACAAGGGAATACAGTAGTAAAGAGAGGGTCTAGTGTAACAAGGGAATACAGTAGTAAAGAGAGGGTCTAGTGTAACAAGGGAATACAGTAGTAAAGAGAGGGTCTAGTGTAACAAGGGAATACAGTAGTAAAGAGAGGGTCTAGTGTAACAAGGGAATACAGTAGTAAAGAGAGGGTCTAGTGTAACAAGGGAATACAGTAGTAAAGAGAGGGTCTAGTGTAACAAGGGAATACAGTAGTAAAGAGAGGGTCTAGTGTAACAAGGGAATACAGTAGTAAGAGAGGGTCTATTGTAACAAGGGAAGAAAGGAATCATAAAAAATAAAAAGATATAGTGAATACAAATAGAGAAAAAAGAAACATAGGAATAAGGAGAGAGGTTAAAAGAGATGGAAAATCATGCAATCGGGAAATTAAGGGTTAAGAATATAATTAAATATATTTTTATTACATATTGTTCAACACCTAGATAAACTGGTTCAGAATAGAAGTTAAATACTATTTGGAACATATTATTGGGAGGAAACGAATGAATATTCATATTCCTATTATTACTAATTATTAATGATCAATAATTATTAAACCCTGGTCATACTTATCATTATTATAATATAAACAAATTCTTACCTTATTGAAGAGTAGTACAATTCTGTTACATAGAAGTTCACTTTTTCCAAGATTTTTCGATTTTTTTTAGAGGATTTTGCTGATTTTTTCCCAGGGAAAATAGGGTTTTGTACGCCCAGCCGGTCGGAGCAGATACACACGACTGACCGCTTGTTCATTTAGGGTCAGAGCCACATACATCAATACCCCGTTACTTTTTATGGGAGGGGGAGGAGGGGTAGGGGGGTAAGGTTCAATGATAGGGGCGGGGGGAATGTTTATGAAGATTTAACTTTTTTTGTTTGTTTTTTGTATTACTGGAATAGAAAAATTCAAATATAATGTAGCTTTTTTAAAATCTACAAAAACTTTCCACCCTTTATACCACTCGCTCCCCCAAATCTTCTTCAACCTTACTTGACCGATAGCTAGGGATACACAAGAGTGAGCAAGATAGAAGGATAGGGTAGTGTGGCGGGAATGAAAAGAAAAGTGGGGGAGGGAAGGGGGGAGCGGGAGGGGAGGGGGGGGGGAGTTAATATGTTTACAAACATTAGAAAGATTGCTTGGTTATGGTTTGGGTTTGGAAATCTTTTATTAGATTGTTGTTTATGAGTGAGAAGTATAAACAACATATATTTACAAGAACAAATCTGGAAAATGGTTGAAGAATGATTAAATAATGTTTAAATAATATTTATTTAAATGATCTTTGGAATCTTTTCCAAAATCACAAATTTGCATTCACAATCTTTTTATACATGGGGTAACAAACCACGAGCGGTTAATACTTATAGGACACTTAAAGCTGAAGTGCACTATGTTTCAGTAAACATTTCCATTTACTGTTACAGCGCCGATATAAGGATTTATCTCTACTTGGATGATGACACATGGCTGAACCCTGATTGGATCAGGCGCTAATGGACTCGGCAAACTAGAGTGGTAAATTGCACACAAGATTATAATTGAATTGAAAATTGAAATATTAAAGAAGAAGGTCAAATTTATACGACATTACTTCTGCGACTTTGCGACCTCATAGCTCCTCTACTTTTTCATTTGGTGGACAAGTTCGCATAAAAAAAGCAATAATAGATGTTCTATTTAATATATCTTTATTATGAGAAGTTACAATTGATATAATTTATTTATTTTAGTAATCACGTGGATGGATGGATATCTCAGTCATGCATTCTGGGATTCTGGCATTATTGCATTCTGGGATTCTGGCATTCTTGCATTCTTGTATTTTTGCATTTATGCATTCATGCATTCTTTTAAGGGTACACCACTGCAAACTAACCAGGAGTAGAAGGCCAAATTTAATTTACATTACTGTTACGACTTTATGACTCCGGCCGTTACTCCTCTAGTTCTCATTTTATGCACAAGTGTAAAAAAGAAAATTTATTTTATTACATATTATGAATTCAAAACATTTTTGATGTTTTCAATAAGAGAAGTTCAAATAAAAATAATACAAGATTTCAATCGGACAGTCGTAGTACATTTGAATTTCCGAGCTGGGTCAACCTTTCGACCGGAAAGGTTGACCCAGCTAGGAAATTGCTTAAATACTTTTTGAGTTATAGCAAAAAAACCATGTGTTCAAATTGACCTCCCCCCCCCCGGTAAATAGGATTAATTGAGAGGGTTTCTTCATGTTTCAAGTGTCCAGATTCAAAATTATTTCTTTAATCAGAAGTATTTTAAATTCATTGAATTCATTGAATTCATGAATTTTACATATTCCAGGATAATGATGAATAACATGAAAAATAAAAAATGAATTTTTTTTGTGGCCTTATGGTGAATTCACCGATATTAAATCATAAAATCGCAACCCTATGGACGATTTTGAAATTTTTTTTTATTTCAATATTTTTTTCAAGTGAAAACGCAGCGACCTCCGGTGGGCGGTTGGCTCAATTCCAATATTGATCACCCCTAATGGGTAGCCTGGGGGTGGCATAGGCAAAAAAAGATTTTTTTTTTACTGGGCAACAATGTTTCTTTCAGCTTGTTTATATCGAAATAAAACAATGGTGTATACAGAAAGGGAGGGTTTGGTGTTTACAGACAGAGAGGAGGGGTTGTGTATACACACAGGGAGGGGAGGTGTATACAGAAAGGGAATGGAAACGAACTATTTACAATCGTTCGAACGAACTTGAAAAAAAACTAACTTTATTTTACTGTACAAACTAAGTTTCCAAAAGATTTGGAAAAAATTATCTCTTTTACTGAACGAACGTTTTTTTCTGACCAAACCTTTGAAAAAAGGGTCGTTTTTAACTAAAAGAATAATTTTTCAAAAACACTGAACAAAAGATATGATTGAACGAATGATTTTACTAAACGATCCTTTAGTGAGAAAACAAACGAAACAAAACGATATTTATTAGAACGAACGAAATCAGTTTTTTTTGTACGATTGAAAAAAAATCTAACGAAATGGGTTGTTATCTGTTTGCAAACAGGAAGACGGTGTCTATAGGTGAGGAGGGGTTGTATAAAAGCACCAGCATTAAGGGAATACATTTTTGGAAATATTTATTAGCTTAACCTGTGAAAAAAAACTGAAAAACAGGTTTTACAATGGTTTTAAGGTAAGATCCCATGCCAATGGGTAACACCCTTTGGGTAAATGTTTGTTCAGTAGGTTAGACTTAAATAAGGTCTATTCCTACTAAACTAAAAATACAGATATGTTTTTAAAAATAGATATTTTTATTAGCTGCAGCGTTTTTTATTTATGTTTATATAATGCCCGCCCGGGTATAAAAGGGTTCTAACCCATTTTTGCAACAGTCTGTATTTTACTCTGCTGTTTTAAAAAATAAGAAGATTTTTTAAAAGGTAGTTTTTATTTCATCTTTATCTTTTATTACTCTAAATATTTTTATTGAACGAGATTCTTCATTAGAAGTTAGAGTAGTATAGAGCAGGCTCATAAATGAGCAGAGAGATCAATTTAAAATCAGTGGTATAAACCTTAGTTTAAAAAAAATATATATAGAAAAATTCACACTTTTAAAAATTTTAAGTAAAAAGGGTGTAATCACACTTTTAATAATGAAAATAATAGAATATTTATGTAGAACCTCTAGCGGTTTGTATTGTAACTACAAAGACGTGACAGGAAATTTAAAACCATGTCTAACAGGTTCAACTAGAACCAAGGTCGTAATAAGCTGGGTTACTCTCGATGCAATCCGATATATACGGAAAATGTCATCTCCTAAGCATAGATGGAATCAACATATGTCGTCACTTTCGCCTCTATAATCAGTGACATGATATGTGAATTGTATTATATCCTTTGCTAAGGTGAAACCATTTTCTGTACATTGGAGCGCATCGAGAGTGAGCAACCTTATTATACAACCTTGCCTTGAATACAAAATAAAGGATAAGCAAGGTTCAGGTTTGAGAAAAGATGGTATCATCTCTCCTATCGACAAAACCTGTTTCTGGTAATGCTATCACACCTAGGGATATGATCTAGTATATTTATACAAATACAAACGCATAAGCATATGTGAATGTAAATGTAAATGTATATGTATATGTATATGTATATGTATGTATATGTATGTATATGTATATGTAAATGTATGTGTATGTGTATATGTATATGTATATGTATATGTATATGTATATGTATATGTATATGTATATGTATGTGTATNAGCAATAAAGAAAGCTTTAACAATATTGTACACCATAGGGCCATTAAAAGAGGTCAATATGGTCTTATTTCTAAGAAATAAACGATTTAATTTTATGCTTTTTTGGGCTGATTACTTTTTGAGGTGGTGGAGATTACCAATTGAGGAGCGCGCTTGCCGCAAAACAGATTTGGGTGGCGGTGATTACTATTTGAGGAACTCTGGACTCCCTCCCTCGTCTGAGTCATGGTTTAACCTTAGGCAATAAGGTGTATAGGAACCTGATTAAACCTATTTACAGTTTACCTGCCACTAAATCTATTAAAATCATGTGTTTCAGTTTCAGAACATACCGCTAGAGGTTCTACGTCGTGAAGTCAAACCTTATAGAAATCCAACGTATAGAAACAGCTACGTATAGCAACATGGCGTATTTTCCGGGAGAACATTTTTTTATTTAGAGTTTATACCCTAACCTGCTGCCGACAACACCTCTAATTCCCTGTATCCAATACTAGAAATTCAGCTGACCAGCTGAGGTATGGCGGGAGATTTACTTCCAACACAATGAAGATCACTCACCAGCTCCTAGAGTTATACAATGTTGGTGTAAACGCTGGCCTGGATTTGAAGCTGAATCTATGGACAAGGGATGGGGACGAGTTTTTTTCTTTTTCTCGCCTTCCTGGATCCAAGCATCAGAGAACCAGGACTAGGAGCAGAAGAAGGAGAAGTTATGGACGGGCGAGAAATACCTCAAAGGATGTTAGGTCCCCCTTGCAGGCTGCAGGACCCTCCCAGGTGCGTGAGAGGTCCCATCTGCAGGTAGCTAGACCCCGCCAGGTGGATGAAAGTTCCCAACCGCAGGTAGCTGGACCCCCCTAGGAGCGTGAGAAGTCCCAACCACAGGTAGCTGGACCCCGCCAGGTGGATGAGAGTTTCCAACCGCAGGTAGTGGGACCCCGCCAGCTGGATGAGAGGTCCCAACCACAGGTAGCTGGACCCCCCAAGGTGCGTGATAGGTCCCAGCCGCAGGTAGCTGGACCCTGCCAGGTAGATGATAAGTCCCAACTGCAGAAATCAGAGTCCCCTCAAGAGAATGAAAGAAATCCAGCCCTAACTGTGAAAACCCCCTTGATGGAGGAGAGAATCTGCAGGAAAGGGTTAAGGCGCCATTGCAATGATACAAAGTACCCAAATCCTCTTTTCTTGAAAGAACCTTTTACTTCTTGTACACCCTCCTCCTATATACCTCAGTTAGACGGTGAAAATGAACGTGATCCTGAACCTAATCCTGAACCTGATCCTGAACCTGATCCTGAACCTGATCCTGAACCTAAGCCAGAGCAGACCGTGAAACCCCTAATTAAAACCATTCCACCAGAGCTTGAACCCGCGCCTGGCCTGAATCCTCCATCCAATATTGTGAATCCTATGTTTGGATTTTGTCAGGATACTACATGTTTAATATGTCCCGA